CATCATCCTCACTTCCTCTGACGTCGCCTTCATCTCTGACTTTGGCACTGCGTGTCTACTCCCTGAGGGATGTGACAAGGTGGACAGCTGCACCTGATTTCAGAGGACCCGAGGCGGACCAGAAGGGTGGCCAGTTCCGTCCATTCCCACTGAACACCTACAGCCTGGCTGTCAGCATGTGGCAGGTACTGTCTGGTCTGTGTCCAGTCAAGAACAAGCCCTTGGATCACCTAGACAACATCCCCCCCGAAGTTCGCTGTTTCGTTGAGGAACCTTCTTCTTCCAGACCCCGACAGGAGATGGACCCTGGACAAGTTCCTCACTGAGGCCCTGGAGCTTTACCCGGACCTGTCCTGTTTTCTCTAAGACGTTTGGATCACGACTGTGGCGTTCTAAAGATACTTTAAAGACAGTGTTAATTTCGTATGTCTTGACTTCTCACCGTTAAGCTTTCTAGATAATTATAGGTATGTAACTTTGAAGAAAAAGTCAAATTTAACAGTAAGTGTTTTACGACCCAACTGATACAACTTAGATCATTTAGGAGGCAGGCTTCCGACTGTGCATACCAGGGCCAACCTGGGCTGATTGGAATACAACATCCCAGCAGAAAGACCGAGATACTCAATAAAATTATATCCACCTGGGAATTGGGCTCGGGTATCCTGCTTGAGACAGCAAAGCGCCTAACCATTACACGGAGGACACCGTTATATGCATATTATATATATAATACTATATACATATTATACATTATATAGATATATCTCTGTTTGCGTAAGTGTGTGTGCTTGTCTGTGTATTTTCTACCGACCATTGTTCACCCACAAAGGTCTGACTGGAGTGGTTTCCTGTCCCTGCCAGAGACAAAGGTCCTTACAAAAGAGCGGAAATCCCATTGTAAAAGATAACAGAAATGTCTGACGATACGATATTCACAAAAGTCCATAAGGGGCCTCTTACCATGCTTGTTGTTGTTGTTGTTGTTGTTGTTGTTGTTGTTGTTGTTGTTGTTGTTGTTGTTGTTGTTGTTGTTGTTGTTGTTGCTTTTAAAGCAGAAGTAGTCGCAGTATGGTAGGTCTAAATTTTAGTACCAACTTCCAGTGTGTGTGTGTGTGTGTGTGTGTGTGTGTGTGTGTGTGTGTGTGTGTGTATTCGTTTGCGCGCGCGCGCGCGCTCACGCGCGCGTGTGTGTGTGTGTATGTGTGTGTGTGTGTGTGTGTGTGTGTGTGTGTGTGTGTTTGTATCGAAAGGTGAATTACTGAAGCTACACTGATGCACTCAATTTCGAGGGCTGTCGGATTTTTGGTAAGGTAATCTATAGTAAATTTCCTAATGGTTTTGTTTTTTTAACCCATGAAGAATGATAATTAATTATCACCTGAATATT